AGATACGCAGAGCTTGGGCAGGCTACAAGAACCGGGGTCTTAGTTCTTTCACCTGTAGAATGGCAAGGATACCGCACACTGAATGCCTGCAGTGACTGAACGCAAGCAGACCTGACGAGAAACCGGTTTCCCTGAGGGCTGTTGCTCTGCAATTCCCTCACCACAGGCCTACAAAACCACGACGTACTCAGAACATGTTTCTAGGCCTCTGAACTTCCGATCTACCTGGAGATCATCCGAGTCTCAATTTATACCCCTCCTCAAAGAGGACTTCACGGTCACCCCATTTTTTCCTCCTGCAGCACACTTTTTGTTCTAGTCTCCTCACCGCCTCTTTTCTTTAACACCCGGTGAAGTGCGCAGCCAACGTCGTGTTCGATAAACGAACGCACCCCGCCCGCAACACGATTTCCTCGCAGGACGCGGTTTTATATTCCCGGAGACCCTGACCCGCCATCAGCATTTCTGTTAACGGAACTAATCGACTCGCAGCTCACGGTGGCTAATCTGTTTTGTTAGGTGATCCGGCCGCAGCAGCAACCCCAAGACCAACCAGAAAACTGCAGAGGAAGGAGCGTCCGTCAGCGGAAACAGAAAATACACGCGGGCACACTTCACTGACCCAAGGTGATTCGAGTATTCGTCATCACACCCGAACCCTCTGGTCGCTCCACGGCTCCCACAAGTTCCCTCAGGCTAGACCCGAAAGGCAACCTTCACTCCCAGGGCTCAAACAAGCTGTCCGCAACACTGAGAGAGACAACAGGCGGCCTCCGTAGAAGGGCAAGTGGCCCTGGGAAGCGAACCTCCATCATCGGCTGGGCCGCTTCGCTCTGTTCCCGTACATACACCAGCCAACTGACAAGAACAAAGCACGCCAAGACGATTGCATGGAAGGGCAAGCCTCCTCACCACGAAGCGACAAAAGCAGATGAAGACCGCACAGATGCGGATGGACAACGATTAAAACTCACCCAGTAACAGATGGCTGCCACCTCTGCAGGCAGCGCCAAAGAAGAGAGCGGACGGTGGCGCGCGAGGGCTGATGGGAATTAACCTCTCGGTCCTGGCCGGGGGGAAAAAGAGCACTTCCGGTTCTTCGTCCTTCAAAGAAAAGAAAGACACTTCAGAGAAATACTACTGGAAAAAAAAGTCGAGGGATACATTTGTTTTCCTAGATATTAATATCTGCGAGTAGTACTGAGAATTTTTCGTACCTGCTGTTGGGACTACATAGAACGTTCGGAATTCTTTCTGAGCTTCTAAGACCTGGGGCGGGGGGGGGGGGATACACTTCCGCCAGAAATTGAAGCCATTCCTCCGGAGAAGAATCCAGGGTTTTTTTTGTTTTTTGTTTTTATTTCCACCCGCGTTTGTTCTGCTGCTAAGTGCGCCTCTTCGTGGCCAGGAGGGAAGAAAACAGAGACTTCTTAATTCCCTCGCGTGAATGGATAGAGTAATATAGCAATGAGACTGTAACAGCTATCATTCGATGGGTTTTACTCTCCTTCCCACAAGTCTGTGAGGTAGTTCTCTTATTTCCCCCATTTTACATATGTAGAAAGGGGAGTTTGGAGATTCTACTCCAAAATCCACACTTCTAATCATTAGGTTAATCTGCTTAGTGTTAAATTGTTCTTGGTTTTGTCTTACTTAGATTTTGTTTTTAAGATTGTTGTAAAAAATCACATTTCAGGATAAAAAAAAATGCACCTTGATTCCACAATTTGAACACAATACAGATGTCATCACTGATTTTTTTTTTTTTTTTTAAGATTTTATGTATTTGACATAGAGAGCAGGCAAGTGGCGGGGTTGGGGGAGGGGATCAGCAGGCAGTGGGAAAGGGAGAAGCAGGCTCTCCGCTGAGCAGGGAGCCCGATGCAGGGCTGGATCCCAGGACCCTGGGACCATGACCCGATTAATTGGAGAGCAGACCCTTAACCCACTAAGCCACCCAGGTATCTCCACTCATGCTGACAGTAGTTCCAGGGTCCAGATAGGGACGGAAGCTACACTGGATTGTGTTGTTCATTGGATGAGAAGTGAGAAGGGAAGAAAGGGTTGACAGCTCCTTCACAAGATTTTGACTGTAAAAGGTAGGGGAGTTTGAGGAGACCTAGAAGAGTGAAATGTGAAATGTCTTGTCTGAGGTCACACAGCTGGCAAGCGATAAGGCTCAGACTGCAACCCCTTTGTGCCTATGACTACAGCAAATCTCATGGATCCTGCTTATCCTGCAGGCTCTGGGAAGTCGGATGGGATGCAGAGCATGAAATCACTGTGCTAACAGCAGCCAACATTATGTGCTGTGAAGGAAAAGGTCTTGATGGGGTCGGGTGGGCTAATCAAGCAAAGGGATCAATGAACCAGAGACCATGCCTCCAACTGTGAAAGATCCAAGGGATTTGAGAAACAGTAACCAAAATGGCTCCAACTCTGTGGGATGAGAGACCCGTTGCCACTGTATTTCACAGAGAAGGGCACTGGGTACCTGCACTGCCAGCTGCTTTCCCATGAGCACTGAGATCCCGAGACAAGAAACTGGAGGTGCCATGAAAGCATCCCAGGGAATATTCCTGCTATAGTCCCCTGGGGCTCAGGACATCAGCTTTCCAAACACTCGTCTGGCTGCAGCTCCTGAGCAGGAAGTCACATCAGCTGGATCACAAGTGATATGAAAAAAACTCCAACCTAGTTTATTTCAAAAGGGCAGAGGTCAAGACAGGGAAATACTCAGAAACTGCCTATCTTTCCTGGGTTACATCTGCCTTCTGAGACACTGGATACTTTTGCTCGAGCTAGAGCTGGTTCCAGGCCATTCCACTGAAATGACTTCTTTTATCTGGCTCTTGACACTTCCCCAGTGTCTATGGCCCCAGGTTGCTAGAGGCAATGGTCACAGTCCCAGGATGGCTGGATCCCACAACACCTTGGTCACTCTAGTTGATGTAGTAGACTTTGGGGGCATCGTAATAGCCATAGGTCATGTAGTTCAAGTTCCCAATGGGCCACCAGTGGTCAGGGTGGTAGGTGGCTGAGTAGGCATGGGGCTGGGGTTGGACACAACTGAAGAGTGCCAGACTCCGGTCCACAGCCACAGTGGGCAGGTAGAGCTGCAGCTTGTCCAGGAGGTGCCCTGGCCAGAAGAAATTGGGGTGAGTTCGCTGTGGACCTCTGGGGCTCTTCACTTGCAGCTTCCTGGAGAAGAAGAAGACAGAAGTGTGTCATGGTAGACTACCTGGGGCCAGGGCTTCTGCTCAGCAGAGTAGGCCAACTGTGACCAGAGTGGAGGTGTAGCATTGTGCTAAGCCCTTCGGCTTCAAGCGCTAGGTTCTGTTACCCTGTCTACCTCACCAACGAGGATCTGAAGGCCTAGAGAGGATAAGTCATTTCCCCAAAGTCACTCAGTGAGCAAGTGGCAGAGTGCAGGCTTGATGCCTAATCTGCTGTCTCTAAAACCCCAATTTTTTTTTTAAGTTTTTATTTCTTTATTTGACACAGAGAGAGAGACAGCAAGAGAGGAAACACAAGCAGGAGGGAGTGGGAGAGGGAGAAGCAGGCTCCCCACCAAGCAGGGAGCCCAATGCAGGGCTCTATCCTAGGACCCTGGGATCACACCCAAGCCAAAGGCAGATGCCTTACGACTGAGCCACCAGGCACCCCTAAAATTCCTATTCTTAAATGTACACCATTTTCCTGTGAGGTTCAGAGCACAGACTCTGGAGCCAGCATTGCTGGGTTCAAATCCCTGCTTCACCACTTAATAAATGGGTGGCTTTGAGTAAGTGCATTAATTTTTCTGTACCTCAGTTTTCTCTTCTGTAAAATGGGTATGCCAAGAGTCACTTTATAGGGTTGCTAAGAGGATTTAAATGAGTTAAAACATGGAACACACCACAGCAGTGTCTGCCTGGCACTCTAAGCAGTTTTACCACTTCTCAGCTCTCAGGTACCTCCTCCAAAGGGAGGCGGGTCCTCCCTCCCACCCATCCCCTTCCAGAGTTGGATGATTGCTACAGACCTGGTGAACTCCTCAAACTCCTTAAAGTGTATCTTCTTGACTTTCTTCAATGTTTTCCTAGTGGATAAGAGAGAAAGGTCTCTTGTCAGGAGAGGGGAAATCCAAGTTAATGGGGCCTCAGTACATGGGGGGTGGGCCTGTCAGTAAGTCCAAACCAGAGCTCCAAAAGCAGAGTTTCTTCTTCCTGAGATGGGACCCAGCCTCTCTCCCTCCATGCTCCAGTGGAACACACAGTGGGCTTGGTCAGCCAGGCCTGGGCTCACATCCTGGCTGGCTGGATGACTCTGGGCAGGCCACTTCCCTTTGCAAAGCCTTATGTTTCTTATTACCCAGAACAGAGACCTCCCAAGGTAGCTGAGAGATGCTGCTGAGTATGAATCCAGCTTTTGGAACAAGTGTGGTGAAAACTAACTCCCCAAGCATAGACTTGGCAGACATCACTAATCGACCTCAGACAGCACTCTCCCAGCAGGCCTGCATCTGGCCTCCAAAACCTTGACAACACATTTCAGGTAGCAAGATAAAACAAATATCCGTCCCTGCCCTTGGGGCCCTCTCTTTATCCTTTATGGCTGTGGCCTACTTAAGCATGGATAAGAGTCTGTTTCTCATGTTCCCACCCACTCCCTAGGTTCATGGTGCAGAAATGGAAGTCAGCCACCCAGGAGCTGGAATGCTTATGTAACAGATGAAAAGCTGACAGTGAAGCATCTAGCCCACTTAACCTGCAGGGTGTCTAATTTCCACTTGCATCCTATCCGTTCTGGCCATTACCGTCCAGTGGGATGCTGGCAGGGATCCAGAATGTGGGCAGTTCCTGATGGGGAGCAGGCCCTTCTCCATCCCACATTAGCCCCATTAGCCTCTCGTTCTCCAGTCTGCAGTCTCCAACAGATGCTGGTTTATCACCTGCCCACGGGTCCCCTCCTTCCAAAGAAGGACATTTCCTTAGAGAGGACTCAGGTTGGTCTGAGGCTCAGAGACAGGCCCCAGTGCAGAATTCTTTCCTCCTCCTAAGGGCTGCAAGCCCACCTCTTGCCAGAGAAGGCAGGACAAAGAAGGGACTGCCACACCTCTCCTCTGTAGGGCCCCTGATGGCCTGCCCATGATTTGTGAAGGAGCCTCCCTATTTCTTGAAGAAGTCCCTCTTTTTAATCTTTCCCAGAGAGCTTGAGATCATGTAGGATGTGGTTGGGAGAGTAGCTGTATGGGGGTGAGGCAGGGAGGCTGTGGCCCTCAGACATGTGCCAGGGACGACACCTGGTGACCAGTGGGGATGGACATGCTGGGCATGCTTGGACACAGGCACTGGTGCACCATGACACCTTAGGGAGGCCACCATCCTATCCCCAGCACTGAAGGAGCAGCAGCAGGACAGAAGGCAAATGGCAGGGAACACAGGGGGTCTGACACTCAGCTTGTCAGCCTTCTTAGCCAGAGCCTCACTGAAGCCCTGGAGCTTGAGCAGGGCCAGATTTGGACTGAAGATCTTCAAGTCTGAGTAGTAGCCTCCCGGCTGCCGGATCGGGCGCACCTGGTCCTTCTGGAAAATGATCTTGTCTCCTGGGTAAAGCAGGGCTGCAAGCAGCAAGAGAAATGTGACCTGTCAGCTCAGGATCCCTCTTCCCCTGAGCCTCTGGGGCAGAGGAAGGCTTTTTTATTTTTAATAGACATTTTTGTTTGAAAAGATTTTTTTCTTAGATACATGCTAAATTTTTATGTTTAAATGACTGTAGATTCACAGCAAGTTGCAAAAGGCATGTAGAGGGTCTCTTAGACTCTTCCCCTGGCTTCCCCGAATGGCAATGTGGCATACAACCACAGTGCAATGTCAGGAAGTGGGCCTGGTACAACACCCCTCTCTGGACTAGAGATGAGGGAGCGTGTTCATAACCAGTCCAGCCACGGCCCCGAGGCCTGAGGCCTGGGTGCAGGTAGGATGGAGTGAGCATTCTGCAGGGGTTGTGCTGGTCAGGAACCTACAAGGAGGAGGGGAGATTCACCCAAGACTTCACTAGGTTAACTGAGACTTAGTCGACGGCAGCTTTCTCCTTGCCCAGAATTAATCTCACAGATATCCTTGGGAGACTGCTCTAAGAAGTCAGAGCACAAAAAATACTGGGCCAGGGGTTCTGTCTTCCTGCAGCCATTGAGCAGTGCTTGTCCCAAGATGGTAACACATAACTTACTCATATTCTAGAAAAAGTAATGGAAGGTTACATTCCAGGTTATTAATGCTGCTTATCTGCGGGCTGGGCAGGGACTGTGCAGATAAGAGGGAAGAGGGAAGGAGGATATGCAGCATCCACATTTTAGAAAAGTACACAGGATTTTTAAAACCACATTTAAAGATATATCTATGTAATATATATAATATACACGTATAATATATATACACAATTTAAAAATAATTTACATAAATAATTTTGTATAAATGGAAAAGAAAAAGAGGTCTGTGAAAGGACAATCTCTAAAATATTAATGATGTCAACTCAAGCTGGGGAAATTTTTATCTTTCTGTTTTCAAGGAAAGCTTAAGTGAGCAAGTATTATCTATAAAATCAGGGGACAAATGATAAAGCCGTATTCACTGGGGAGAGGGGAAATGCCTCAGAGTTGTAGAACTCTAGCCCTTGAGCTTGAGGGCTGGAGTCAGAGCCCACCAAGCTCTACTCCAGAACACAGACCTGGAAGTCCCAGTGCTTGAGTTTCTTTCTTTTAACACAGACCCAGAGCAGGCCTCTGTCACAGAGACAGCCACTAAATAGTGGCCAGGATACTGGTCAGAGGTGGACTAGAATTTTTTTCCATCTAGAACAATCAGAAGCAAAAGGAAGCCCCCCTCACCCCACGGATGCTCCCGTATGCCCATGAGTGTGAGATCCTTCCAGCTGGTGAGGTGGACAGGCCCAGGAGCTAGCAAAAGCTAGCAGTGGAGGCAATCAGTAGTGGTTCAGTGTTCTGAGGGGACAAAGGAGGCACATCCCAAGGAAAGGCCTGGCCCGCAGGGCAGCCCCAGGTGCAGGTGTGGCAAGCCTGCCTGCGTTCAGAAGACAGTTAGCTGCCCCTCCACCACTAGCCAAGACCAGGAAATGTACACAATCAGGGAAGACAAGTCTCCCTGAGGAAGAAGGAAGGAAGGATGATGTGTCCAGGATTTCCTGTCTTTGCCCTCCCAGCCCAGGGGGGGCAGCAATTGGCCGCCCAAGTGAGGGGGTGCAGCGCACCCGGAGACAACGACCCCTCAGGTTGGTTTGCCTGTGTTTCTGGAGGTTTTTGGCTAAACGCTTTTGTACAGACCTGTTATAAGCTGAATTGTTTCCCCCCCAACCCCCACCCCAAGAACAAATTCATATACTGAAGCTCTAACCCCCTGAAACCTCAGAATTTGTACTTGGATAGAGGATCTTTCAAGAGGAGATCAGGCAGATGAGCCTGGGCTCAAATCTGATTGGACCGGTGTCCTTGTAAAAGGAGATCTGGACACAAGAGAGGTGCTAGGGGCGTGAGTGCACAGAGGGGAAACCATGTGAAGAGGTAGTGAGAAGGTGGCCATTCTGTGAGCCCAGGAGAGAGGCCTCAGAAGAAACCAGCCCTGGTGTACCTTGATCTTGCACTTCTAGCCTCCAGAAGTGTAAGAAAACAAATTTCGTTTTGTTCAACCCAGTCTGTGGTATTTTATTGTGGCAGCCTGAGCAAATTAATACAAGACCTAGGGCCCTGTACAATGTGCACTTGCTTCCCTCTCTCTTGGGAAAAAGAGGGAAATAGTCAGTTGTGACGGTTAACTGATTCTCAGGGAAGTCACACGCCTGTCCGTGTGCCCCTTTCTCTGAAAGCCACACTACCCACTTTGGCCATGGTTCCTTCCTGGCCACTTGGGAAACCTCTGCCCTCAAGAGCAACTTACTCTTTCATGCTTTTAAGGCCTGAAGTGGGACCTGCCCGTTAAATTTATAAATTCACAGATTTGGGGCGGCAGCATCGCTGGGTGATCATTGAGGGCTTATGGGGCACTCCCCCATCCCCGTCTCCCAGAAGCACATGCTCTACCGAGAGGTGGGGAGGGTTTAGGTCTGCTTGGATATATGGAAACACAATTCTCCCTCAAACAGAGGGTGAGGCCAGTGTGGAAATCTCAGGGCCCAGTCCTGTGGTCTGAGCAGAGAGCAAAGGGCCTCAGCAGAACTTGCCCCCTTGTGTGTTCCTACCTCCGTGTTGCAGAAGAACCGAGAAACAGACCTGACCTAGGAAGTGGTTTTGGAAAAGCCCAGTACAATCATAGTGGTTATCACTTCTAGCATATCTCCCTCTTTGAAAATGGGACTGTTCCTTTCTGCTCAACTTCAGGGCTCCCTCACCCTGAACTCCTATTCTAGAATGCCTAGTAGCTCCATTGGGGGAACCCAGACCTCTGTGTCTGTGGAGCCTGGGTACCTCCAGAATTCTAGAAATCCTATCTAACTGGAAAACAGACTGGACTCTTCCTCCCCTCCCCCTCCACCTTCCATACCCCCACCACAGGCCACAGCAGTTTAGCTGGGTGTATGTCAGCTGGGGAAGGACAAACCACAGGTGGATGCCACCTGCACCCAGGTTCTGGGCCCTCTTGGCAACCTCCCAAGGGCCAGCCCCCAAAGCCCTTACCTTTCATGAGTATGTCCTCCGTCAGCGGGAGGCCGTAGTACTCACAGAGCTTGTGGCACTGCAGGTAGACCAGAAAGTTGTCCCTGCGGGACATGTTAACGAGCTCCCTCATATCCCCGTGCATGGTGGACGGGAGACAGTGCTCATCAAAGTGCTTATTCCCACTGCGCACCAGGCGGCACCGCTCCAGGTACTGGATGGAGGGGATCTTGAGCTGCAAAGAGAACAGAGGTTGGCACACACTTCCCTCCAGTTTCTCTTTGCCTTCCTGGCCAGAAGGCAGATGTGGAGCCTCATCTCCATCTCCCCCATGAGGGGAAAGGGCAAAGAGTGCAGGGAGGGACCCAAGTTCAGGCTCTGAAGTCAGTGCCTTGGGAGAAAAATCACACATAGTCAAGGTCACCCCCAAGAGCACTTGAATGGCTAAGGTTAAGGCCGGTAGTGCTGTGTGAGTGTGAACAGCCCCGTATGTGGAGCTGCGTGTCATTATGTCATAGGTACAGTAGGGTGCAATGTCAATGCCTTGGTGAAACATGGCATCCACAGATTTGGCTGCACCAGGATTTAAATTAGGTGCAGACATCTGTGCTTTTGAGGTTGAATCATGGTGTCAAGAATAGCGGAGCAAAGCCAAAGAAGCCTGCAGAATGCCGAGCCATGTTTGGCCTTCTTATTTATTTACAAGGAAATAAAAAACAAAACAAAACCAACTATATTTTTGCACCATCTAAAACCAGGATCAGCAAAGTACAGCCCACAGGCCACATCTGGCTCAGCACCTGTTTTTATAAAAATGGTTTTCTTGGAACACAGAGGCACTCATTTGTTTCGTGGCTGCAGTCTGCGGCTGCTCTTGGGTGGCAGTGGCCACAGAAACTATAGAGCCCCAGAAGTCTAAAACAGTCGTTGCCTGGCTCTTTACAAAGTTTGTTGAGCCCTGCTCAAATATGTTGGGGTTTTTGTGTCATGAAGTGAATCAGATCTTAACTGATATAGCACTTATAGTGCTTAACATTTTATTATATATATATATATATAATAAATAGAATATATTAATATATTTTATATACTTATTATAATATATAATTAATTTAACATATAGTATTATAATATCATAATATTATAATATATCTTTATATTATATTTATTATATATAATAAAATATGTATTTATATATAGTATAATGCTAATATTGTCTGCCTCCCTGTTGGCAGGGGTTGTTTTGTTCTCTGCTGAAAGAGTGCCTGGCACATTGCCATCACTCGATAAATATTTGTTGGATGAATTCATTCACGCCATCCACTCCTCTTTCACTGGTCATGTGTTTCTGGAGTGCCTGGAGTGCCCACGCAGTGGCAGGCCCTGTGCTGGGCACTTGGATTCCAGCTGTGATGGAGATGCAGCCCTCAGCCCTGGTCTCAGGATGCAAAGTCACAGTTAAGGAATGGGAGGAGGGGAACTCCATACTCTCGGAAACATGATCTCATTTCATCTTCAGAGAAACTTCATGAGGTAGGTGTTGTTCTCATTATCAGACGAAGAAGCCTGCTCCCTGGAGTTCTGCAGCCTGAAGGTTTAGTGAACTTGAACCCGAGCCTATCTAGGCACCTAGCCCCATGCCCCTCCTGTTGGCCTGGGTACCTGGTGCTGCCGCTTCCTCTCGCGGTACCGCTTGCCAACGTCCTCCATCTCCTCCAGAGTCATGGGCCGTGCCTCCATGTGGATGTCAACCAGGGGCACAGTCAGCAGGTCCATCTTACAAGGCTGTGGGGCCAAATCCACCTGGTTCTTGGATGCACTTTGGAGGGAACCTCTGTGCTTGGCGGATCTATAATCTGAAAGGACAGAGAGACTGAGAGGAGGCCCACCTAAGGAATCCATCGAGTGGTTAACTGATGGGACCAAGCAGGTATGGGCCACGCCTTTGCTCACTTCCCACATGGCCCGTCTGTGCCATCTCTGCTTCCACAATGGCATCCCTTGTGCACCACAGTCCCAGCCTTCCTACTACCCCTCTCATCCTCTACCATCCTGTTTCCACCAAACAACAAATAGGACCTTTACAAAATATAATCACCTCATTCCCCTGATGGCTTCCCACAGCACTCAGACTAAAGCCCAGAATCCTCTTCCTGGTCTGCAAGGTTCTACAGGATCTGGCCTCAGCTCAGCATCCACCCAACCCATCTTCTAAACATCACCCCTCCCTCACTCCCCCAAGCCACCCTAACTGCTTTCTGTACTCTGAAAACTTTCCCAAGTCAGGGCCTTTGCCTTTGTAGCTCCAACTGCCTAGGATGCGCTCCACCAGACTGGTTCCTCATTAGTCACTCAAGTGTCAGCCCCCAGAGCTGCTTTGTAAAGAGGTCTCCCCTGACCACCACTTCCTCACTCTGTTCTCTTGTCTTCAAAGCATTAATCACGACTAGACATCATCTTGGCTAACCTGCTACATGGAAGCTCATTGGCTTCTTTACTCCTGTGTTCCCAGTTCCTGGTGTTTTTGAAGGGTGCCTGGCACATAATAGGTGCTCAACACAGATCTGGATGGATGAAAGCCTCCCATTGCCCCTGCCCTAGTTCAGGGCTCCACTGTCTTGGGCTGACATGAAATCATGGCCCAGCCATCCTCTAGTTTCCAGACTACAGACTGGTGGCTGCGCTTCAGCTTCCTCCTCGTCGAGTGTGAAATGCAGCTCTGACCTCTAGGGACTTGGAGGGTTATCTGAGCTGCTGCTGTGGGTAAAATGACCCAGCCCACAGCAGGTGCCCCCAGATGCTACCGCCTTCCCTTTCCGAGCTGGGCACCTAGAGTCTTGATGCTGCTGTCCCTCTAGGCAAAGCAAGTGATACCCAAGTCTGCTTACCCTGCCCACTGATGCTGTTCAGGAGAAAGGGCTCTATGATGACACTGAGATGGCACCATTCAAGCAAATACCTGCTCTTGACCTCAGGTCTATTTATTGGGAAATAACAGGCCCCAAATACCTTTGCTACAAACATGCATTATGAGTACTGTGGTCATTCACTAAATGGCTCATAGCAAACCACATGAATAAGGGCGAGCTTTGGTAATTTATAATGAAAAGGCAAAAGAGCATGGATGGGAAAGCAAGCCCGATTTGAGGCAGCCCTGAGCACATGCTGGACATGAAGGGTGCTGGAGATTGTGACTGGGGGTGGTGATGGTGACATGCGCAGGAGGTGCCTGGAGGGTGCACAGATTCCCTGGGACTCTGGAAGAAGAAACCTCTCCCCTCCCCTCCTCCCCCAGGGCTCTCCTGTGACCTCAGAAAGTGTGAGGAACACCCCACACCAACATCTGAAATGAAACTCCTTCCAGCCTGACAGGTAGGGCCAAAGCAAGATTTATTTGATTTAGAAAAAGAAGTTATATTTGGGGATATGTTATATTGTTGTTATAGTTATTATATGTTACATTTGATTACATTTGGGGAGGGCTCTGGAACGATGGGTGGAGGTTAAAAGGAGAGCTTTAATTTTATCTGTAGTTGTTCAATTTAAAATTTTTTTGCACCAACAGTGGCACTAAGCTCTAAAGAACCATGATGTACCCTTGTGTTATAGAGTAAATTCATAGCCAGCGCCATGGCTGGTCCATTTCTAATTTGCCTCTGTCCTATATTTGGACAGAAGTGGTTCCACAAGCACATGGCCTAGCAAATGGAACTTGAGCTGTGCACAACTCATACAACTGTTCACAGCAACCCTGCTAATATCTCTGATAGCAGAATATCAAAATAGATTTTCCAGTAAACTCCAAACATGTGCTAATTCTGGTTTCTGAATTTTAGTGGGTTTTTTTTGGGGGGGGGGTTGAATTTTAGTTAACTTTTTATCAGTAAAATATAGATTAATAGTAAGAAGGCCTTGGGCTCACATACAAGTGGAAGGGCCTTCTGTTTGGGTCAGATCTCAATCTATCAGGTAAGCTTTGGAGGGCTGAAACTACCTTTTGGAAATCCTCCCTTAAGGACAAGGGCTGGGCCTCAAGATCTTCAAATGGATATGGTAGCTGAGCACTCATGAGAATATCTACTCTTTAGTTGATTGTTGGACCTGGGGATTCTAGAAGCTTGGCCCACCTATGGTAAGCCAAAGTTGGAGAACACACTCAGAAAGTAAGCCAAGGCTGCCTCCACCCTGCTTGTTCCCAGGATGGGGAAGTGGAGACATGGGGTTGGGGGGTGGATACGTACACTCCCTTGCAGTCGACAGGGTGCTTCTCTGCTCACCCAAAGACCACTGCTTGTAGGTGTTGGCTAGGATATCCGTGGTAATGTTGTTGCACTTTCCCAGAGAGCTGAGATAGATCACAACATCCTCCATCTCCTGGTTTTTCAGAGGGACTCCAACCTGAGGAGGGAAGAGAAGCCACCAAGGTGGGTGGGCTCTACTCCAAACATCCAGCCAGTATGGCCAAAGCCATAGCAGCCTGGCCCTACCTCTCTTGTCTAGTTTCTGGTTTCATCCACCACCACTCCCAGCTCATGCCCAAGGCCTCTGCTGCAGGAGCTTAGAGCCCTTTCCCAGGCCCTGAACACACTCTACACTTTCTCACCCTTTACCTTTTCTCAGGTGTTTCCACCTATCTGAAGAACTCCTATCCCTCCTTCAAAACCCAGTCCAGATAAGCCACCATCTTTGCAGAATCCGCTCCTTCTTCCTTCCGGACCACCACCCCACTCCATACTGAGCTCAATGCCAGCTTTCCCAGGCTGGATGGGAAAAAGGATTTCACGTCTACCATCCTTGTTCATGAGAAACACATTAGCCTCCTTTAACTGAAGTAAAAGAGGATCAGAAATACGATACACGTTACTCTTTGAAGGACAGTGAGTAACTTTGTAGGACTGTAATGCTTGCCATCAATACCAAATATTCAAGAGGAAAAGTCTTAAAGGAAATATAATTTTGTACACTGCAGTCATTATTCACTGAGCTTTCCTCAAAGAGGGTTAGAACACTCCTAGGATGAAAGGATGTAATATTTTATCTTTTTTTGATTATGATGATTAAAAACCCTTTATCTTTTTTTCATGTTTTGAAAGGTTGTTTAGATGAGTACATATCAGGAAACAATAGTGTGAGGACTGGTGATGACTCAAAACCATAAAAGATGGTGGGCTGAAAGATGGTAGCTGCCAGCTTCCTAGAGTGTTTTGTAAAGGTAGCTTGTATTCAAAGCATATAAAAGTTTAATTCATGCAGACCAGGGGTCAGCAAACTTCTTCTATACAGGGCCAGATGGTAAATATTTTAGGCTCCATGAACCATATGGTCTCTCTCGTAACTACCCAACTCTACCATTGTAGCATTAAAACGGCCATGACAATACATACAAATGAGTATAGCTGTGTTCCAATAAAACTTTATTTACAAAAACAGAGGCAGGCTGGATCTGACTTCTGGGCAATAATTAGTAGACCCCTCACTAGACCAGTGGAACTTTCTGCAATAATGGAATGTTCTGTAACTGCATGGTCTGGTAGAGGAACTGCTCATCATGTGTGGTTACTGAGCATCCAAAATGTGGCTATTGTGAGTGAGGAACTGGATTTTAAAATTTTATTTCTTTATAATTAACTTAAAATCTTGGCTAGCCCTTGAAAGTGTGGCCCGAGGGACAGTACCATAGACATCACTAGGAGCTTGTTAGAGTGTAACATCTCAGGCCATGCACAGAGGTACTGAGTCAGAAGCTGCATTTTTAACAGACCTCTATATGATCATGTGCCAGTGACAGCTGGAGAAGGTCTAGAAGGTTCTAGAGGCAGGACTGAAGGCCCAGAAATTTCTGTGCACAGTTCTGGGGTCCAATGGGCAAGACAGTGATTCCTCATGCAGTTGATTGGTTATGGGGTTGGTTCTGCAGACTTTCCACTCAGATAGGGGCTTTTTAGGTCAGACCCATGCAGGGTTGCTTTTAGGGGTCTGATGTGGCCACGAATTATGCTACGTTTTCCAAGTTGGCTTTACAAGTAACAAGGCTGATGGTTTGAGTCCCCTGCGTCTACTTTTCAGTTGCCAGGACCTGGGTGCAGGCAGCAGTGGGGGCAGGGAGCATGGACATCTTCCCCACTCAGGCCAGCCCGGAGGGAGGACGGGAGGCACTTACCGCCTTCAGAGCCGCAATGAACTCCTCCCTAGAGATCCTCTGGTTCTCACCCCAGTCCACCTTGCTGAATATCTCCAGCATCTTGATCTTGCGGCTGCGCAGGTACGAGTACAAGGTGGTCAAGGCAGAAGGCTTGGGCAGTCGGAGCTGGGGCACAGGTCGGCGGGAAGGCCGGGGGCTCTTCTGCGAAAGACAAGAGAGTGGGGCAGAGGGGGAGAATTCAGGGGAGACAGGCTACTCGAGCATGATTCCCAGAGTTAGAACAGGGAGAAAAAGTGGCTGAGCAGCTCTAGACAGACAGCAGGATGGAGTGCAAGGGGCACTGGACTCAGGGCAACTACCTGTTGCCATAGATTATTTGCATCTCAGGACCTCCATTTTCCCATCAGAAACAAGAGGTCTGGATATTATGAGAACTAACATTTTGTTCTTACCCCATCTCTCCTGTCAGACAAGTCAGGCGTATAATCCCATTGGACTCTCAGTGCCCCCAGACACATGCCCCCGCCCAGAGCCACACAAGGCTCTAATCCTCCTACCTCCCAGTCTTTGCTCCTGCTAGGCCTCCTGACCAGAATACCTTTCCTCCTTTCTCTACCTGTCCAAATCTTACTTTTCCTCTAATTCCAGGTTATGGGGAATATTTCAGAATAATACCCCTCACCTTGGTGTAGCACCTGAAAGTTTACAAAGGGCCTTTCTGTTCCCTAGTTTATAGTTCCTCTGCATTTGGGACCCACCTCTATTAATGGTCTACAGCAAACTGAAGTCATTGATCTGATGTGTCTGCCTCCCCCATTAATATCTGAACATCTTGAAGGAAGACCATGTCCTATTAAGCTACATACCCTTACCTCCCATCCCCCCTACTGAAAAAGCCTCCAGCCCCAGGCAGACAGGCAGTCATTGTTTGCTGAATGACTAAATGATGCTGTAAATTAGGTATTAGGGATGACTTTCCCTTTTTACAAATGAGAAAACAGGTTCAGCGAAGTGAAGTGGCTCGTCCAGGTTCACACGACCCTTGAGCAGTAGAGTTGGGTTTCTAACCCAAGTCTAGTGCTTATTCATAGACACCGTGCTGCTGTCAGGAAGGGTGTGTGAGACCTAGGAAATTTGGGTTTGGACTCTGATTACACCAAGGACTGACTCTGATATCAGTGAGACGGCAATCAAAAGGACAGACATAATATTGAGTGCTCGCTCTGTGGCCGGCACTGTCCAAGGCACCTGATATAAATTCATCCATTTAGATGTCACAGCAACCCTAGAAAGTAGGTACAATGGTTATCCACATTTAATAGATTGGAAAACTGAAGCCCAGATCATAGAGCTAGGAAGTAGCCGAGCTAGGTTTAAACCCAAGTTATCTGACCTCTTACCCCAACTTAACCTCACCTGGGAGAAATTTCAAGTGTTTGCATTACAAGGGAATGTCACAGCGACCAAGCATTGGGGGATGAGGGCTTTGATACTGATTTCCACTGACTGGGGCGCCTGGGTGGCTCAGTGGGTTAAAGCCTCTGCCTTCAGCTCAGGTCATGGGATCCTGGGATCGAGCCCCACGTTGGGCTCTCTGCTCATCAGGGAGCCTGCTTCCTCCTCTCTCTCTGCCTGCTTCTCTGCCTACTTGTGATCTCTGTCAAATAAATAAATAAAATCTTAAAAAAAAAAAAAAAAGATTTCCACTGACTACCTCTATAGGCCTGGACAATTGACTAGCCTCGTTGAGCTTCTAGTTCTATATTTATAAAAGGGAGTTCCTCATTTTTTCTTCCAGCCTCGCAGCTCTGATCCTCACAGCAGCACTAGGAGCACCTGCCTGGCACTCATCAACCCTCAACAAACATGTGACCATGAATGAATGAATGAACAAGTATTTTAAAATGTCCCATAGATGGAATGCCAGGAATTATCCCTCCTCAGGTGATTTTAAGATACAGTCACAAATTCTTCCACTCCTCCCTTCTGAGATGGAGCCTGGTTCCCCTCCCATCGAGGGTGAACAGTCCTTAATGACTTGCTTCTGCTAGATAGAATACGGTGAAAGTGACCATGTGATTCTCTTGAAACTGTGATCTCCCGAGATGAGGTCATAAGAGGCATCACAGCCCTCCTCCTTGCTCTGTCCCCAATACACCCCCCTTTTGGGACTTCTCTGTTCCTCTTTGATGGGGGGGACACCACCTATTCTGCCTAACCACAGGGAATGAAATGACAGTATGCCCCTAACACCTTCAGTCTCTTCATCATCAAGTGGGGTGGCTCACCTTGGTGGCTCTGGTAGGAGTCAGACAGGCCAGCAAATGGGCCTCATGCTCTTTTTGGATCATGTTTAAGACCTTGGCCTCTGAAGGAGTGAGGCAAGGCTTGTTCTGCAGCCACTTCTCCGTGTCACCGAATGACTCCAGGTTCTGCCGAAGCTTCAGTCTCTGGCTGAGCCAGGTCTTTGCATCGTCTGGCTGCCCCAGGATATCCCCGGCTCCCAGGACTTTGAAGCTGGATATTGGCTGTGGGGGAGTCTGGGCTTGGGCCATGAGATTGATGGGTATTGGATCCTCATTTTGAGGCAAGGTGATGATCCGCCGGCGGCTCTGAGGCTGGGGGAAAGCCTTCTGCTTGAACTGCTTGAAGCAGTGGGCAATGACTGGTTCAGGATTGAAGATGGGGTCGTTGCTGGAGGTTTCATCATCACCTGAGGTCTTAGACTGCCAGAGCCCTTGGGGGAAGAGTGTTAGGAGGTGAGTTTCTTTCAGGAAGAGGACTAACAGAGTCAGGAAAGAAAAATGCTACAGCAGCAGGCTGAGTGATAGGGCATCTGGGTTCCAGGCCTGGCTTTATCATTGCTTCGCTATCATAATAATTGTGTACTCCTGAAAGCAGGCACAATGCTAAAAGCTCTATATGCTTTTTCTTACTTAATCTTACTCTTCCCCACCCCAGCACTCCTTACCAGTAATCAGAATGATCTTTAAAAAAAAAAGAAAAGAGGGGCGCCTGGGTGGCTCAGTGGGTTAAAAAAAAAAGAAAAGATTTGTTTACTTATTTATTTATTTGAGAGAGTGAGAGAGACAGAGAAAAAGAGAGAACAAGCAAGGGGAGGGGCAGAAGGAGAGGGAGAGAGAGAATCTTATGCAGGCTCTACATCCAGTGAGTAGCCCCACATGGGGCTCAATCTCACAACCCTGAGATCACGGCCTAAGCCAAAACCAAGAGTTGGACGCTTACCCAACTGAGCCACCCAGGTGCCTCCAGAACGATGCCATTCTGGGGGCGCCTGGGTGGCTCTGTCATTTAAGCATCTGCCTTCAGCTCAGGTCATGATCTTGGGGTCTGTGTCAGGCTCCATGCTCAGCGGGGAGTCTGCATCTCCCTTTCTTTCTGCCCCTCACCCTGTTCGTGCATGCACTCTCTCTAGAATAAGTAAATAAATAAAATCTTAAAAAAAAATAAAAATGCCATTCTGATTTGGTCTGATCATCTGAGCAGAGGCTTTGGAGCCAGAATACTCCAGTCATGTCCTCGCTCTGTTGCTTCATGGCTGCATGATCTTGGACAAGTTACTTAGCATCTCCATCTCAATTCTTCATGTGCAAAATGGAGAAAAAGAGGGTACCTACTTTACTGAGTTGTGGAGATAGTTAGAATCGGTCCATTTTAGAAGTGTTTTGTTTATACTAAGTACACAGTTATTTTTATGTACTCGCCTTTCACCTATTTTGAAACCCTTCCACGACTTTCAAAGTAAAGTTCCATGATCCTCCTCCGCCAACCTTTTCTACCTCATCGCTTGCCAGTCTTTCCTTAGTATAACCCAGATGCCTTGACCTCTCTCAATGATCCCTGAATGTTCTAAGGATCCAACATCCAACATCCAACAAGGGTGTTGTTCCATCTGCCAGAAATGTTCCCTTCCCTACCCATCCCCTCCTCACTCCTCATCCTCAGGCCACATGTTACCTGTCCAGCTCCCAAGCTCTGTTATATCCTCATATTATCTCTATGTAATATAACCTATACTTTTCCTTTGGACCACTTCATGTTGAATGACGCCTGTTTTGTTTGACATAACACTGTCTTTACACTGGGGCATGCCCTCTCCAGGTTGCCATAGTCCCCACCATTCTCTATAATCTCACATGCACATCAGTTCATTTATTAAGTGTGTGCTTCAAGCAGACATTTGTGTTTGAAATCCCTGGTGTAATTACTTGGTCGATGTTTATTTTTTCAATAGACTATAGACTGGGACCTCATCTCTCCCTGCTGGAGTCCCCACACCTCCACATGCCAACATACAGAGGGAGCTCAGTAATTATTTGGTGAACGAGTGGATGTCAAATGGACAGACCCAATAACTCAGCTCTATGATTATACCATTTTACAGATAGGGGCACAAAGGCCCCAAGAGGCCCAAGTTCACACAGTTGATTAGTAGCAGAGCTGGGACAGATCAAATGAATAACAGATACGTTTTAAAATTCAGAAGGGATATAACATTATTATTAAAAACACTGTCACCATATTTTCCTTTGAAAACCCAAACTCCCTTGTTTTAAAACCCTTTCATTGCCTCCAAAATAAAATTCAATCTCCTTAACCTGGCCCCACTGAAACTACCCACCTCTGCCAGACTCTCTAATGGGCTTCTTCTCTTGTTCCTTCTGGCCTCCCCCAGTATTTGTACCCCAAAACTGAGCTACCATTCCTTGGTCCCTTTGCCCCGGCCACATACTCTTTCCTCTCTGGAATACTCTTCAAGACTTAGGTTAGGCATCACCATCCTCTGAAACCTTCCCACCCCTCAACCACCACCCTCATGTCCACTCTGGGTTCCCACAGTGCCCATGCCCAACCCCATCATAGCATTTACCATATTTTTCTGGATAAAGCTGCTTTCTGAGTCTTTCTCTCCCAATGGCCTGTGAGTTTTGCAATGTTAAGGGCTGTGTCCTAGAGCCCATGTATCCCTGGTCCCCAGCCTGGCACAAAGTGAACATTCAGGACATTTGTTAAGTCTCCTTACTGCTCATGTGTTTCTTTCAGGTCAGAAATAATGATTATACATCAATGTGGACAGAAGTGAGCACTTCTTAACAACCCCTTTATCATTTCTTTGAGGACAAGATGCTGGGTACAGCTGAAATTGTAACCATTCATCAAACCACTATTTGCTGAGAATCATCCAGTACTTGGCATGGCCAGGTGCAGATCCAAATGAGGCTGGGTGCCTGACCACAGAGCACTGGCATGGAACAAGGTGGGTTAACTAGAGGGATAACAAGATGCTCTCAGTTGGGGGAGAAATGCTGATGGAGAAACCCGGGAGGTCATCATGAAGGAGGAGCCATCGACATGTGCCTTCCAGAAGGAGTCAGATTTCAAGGGGTGGAGGGGCCAGCGTTGAGAAAGGTCAGGGGTGAAGTTTGGAGATTTAAGGGTTACTGTAGTTCCACAAGTTGGAAGCACATATGTGTGAAGGAGGAGGTTAGTGGGAAATGAAGTTGGAATCATCTTGAATGCAGATTAAGGGGTTTAAACTTTACCATGTTGACCATGGGAACATACTCAAAATACACTCCTCCCTGGCCTTGCCACTGCCACTTGTGCCCTCCCTAGACTCCAAATCCATGATCTTCCCTTAGCCAGAAGAGTCACGAGTCACTCCCTCTTGAAGCCCTTCAATGGCTTCACTGAAATGGCTTCTCAGTGCCTCTAGAATAAACCAGCCCCTCTCGCAATGATCTACACCGCTGCTCTTACCTGGACCCTGTATCTGCTTCTCCCCCCATTTCTCTCCCCCTTGCTCAGTTTGCTCCAGCTGCACAGGTCTGCTTTCTGTTTGTCCAACTATCCTAGCTCTGTCCCAACTTGGTTTTGGCATTTATTGTGCCCTCTGAAGGGCATGGGATTCCCCAAGATCTCCCCTGGCTGAGTCCTTTTCACCATATAGTTCTCAGCCCAAGTGCACTGCCCCCAAAGTCACCCTGACTACCCTATCAAAGATCACATGCCCACCACACCATGGAGCTTCCATTCTAGTAATCTTTGGGGTCCTGTGTCCATTGATAAGAAAGTGAGGTGGGCTCTTATAATAAAAGAGGTCACTGCATAGTTGTGGGTAGAGACTGTGTGAAAATGTCCCCAAGGGATTGTGAGAACTGCTTTCAGAGGCTAGCTAGTCCCATTGCCTTCCCAGGTCAGGGAACTCTTTCTGCAATGACCCTGGCAGATTTTACCTCTGCTCTGTATACACCTCTGGCGACAGGGAGTTCTCTACTTCGCCTTATGGATGCCTAATTCTGATTGCTAGAAAAGACTTCCTTATATTGACCCAGATTTCATTCCCTGGAATTTCTACCCCTTGGTCCTAGTCCTCCCTATTGATGCACCAGAAAATGCATTTGTTCCCTCTTTAGTGGGACAGCCCTTCAGGTATCTGGAGACAATTCAACTCTCTTGAAATTGTTTATCTTGGCTGATTCAAATCTCTAAGTTCCATCCTACCTCTCAAGCCAGGTGATGTTTGGCCCCTCTCTTCCTGCCCACCCCTTAAAATTGGTGCCAAGTCTACATTGGGCTTTCTTGTTTGTTTTCCAATCTCCTCTACTCTTATGTTTCTGTGACCTTCTGCATGCTGAGGACACCCATGCCAATATTTATGACTTGAAATTGCCTCCAACTTTCTACATACAATTTCTCCTAAAGCATCTCCACTTGGACGACCTACAAGTATCTCAGACTCAACCAATGAAGACTTCACTGATCTCCATGTACTGTCCCCACTGAATCTGTTTCTGTTAGGTTCCTGATTTCTGTGAAAGGCACCTCCATCTCCAGGTCACCCTAGCTACCAACCTGACCATCATCTTGGATTGTTCTTTCCATGCTTTATTGAATCAGCCCCCCAAGTATTCTAGCCCCTCTAGCCTGGCCACTCCCCCTCACCTCTCAGTATCTTTGATCTGGATGTTTTGGACAGCCCCAGATCTTATCAATCTGTGCCTCCAGCATTCTGAGTCTGCCAGTTCACTCTGCATTTGCTAATGCTCCCAGTCTAACACTGTCATTCCCAGTGGCTTCTCCATTTCCTGGCTCACAAGCTCTTTCATGATCTTGTCCCTTCTGACCTCTCTCACCTCTCATCCCCAGTAACACTCAAATGAACAGCAGTTTCCTGAAGACACCATATGTTTGAGCCCCTTTGCATGTGGTTCTGTTGGACTGGAATGCCTTTCCTCCCCATTTTGGCATGGAGAACTCCTTGTATCCTTAATTTAGACCCCAGTGTAAGTCTCTCTTCCAGAACCTTGGAACTGTTCCTCCCCATCCTTTATACTTAGCAGAACTCTTACTCCTGGGTGTCATCCCCTGGCCTGGCATCCACCCTTTCTTCTGTAATTAGCTGTTTATCTGCCTGTCCTTCACCTCTGAAGTTGCAGGGCTTTGCTGCAGCAGGCTATGGTAGAAGGTTTGAGGACTGAGTTTTCTCCATGCTTCTTCTCCAGTACCCAATATATTAATATCCAGTGGAGAAATGGGGCAGAGGACGAGCCAGAGGGCTGTGAATGTCTTTCCCAGGCTCAAAGATTGGACCTCTGATTTCAGACCAAGGCAAGTTGGCCCACTCCTCCAGCTTGGGCATGGAAATCTGAGAAATGTGCCTGACCTGACGCCGACTCCCTGGCAACCCCTCACCCAGAGCGGGGACGGCATAATGAGATATTTACCCCTGTCCTTGCCCTCACCCCACTTGTACGCATGTGCACCGCACTGCTTTCCGGGAGCTTACCGACCGCCGACCGGAACAGAGCCTCATACGTTTCATAGGAATCGTCATTCATGGTCGCAGCGTCAGAAGCGGGCGCTGAAGTGTGTGTGCATGCGTATGTGCACGCGCTTGCTTGCTTGCGTCGGAGCACCAAAAAACAGTAACACCAAATTTTGCAAGAGACTCTGAAGTAGCAAGCTTAGAAGCTACTGTTGCCAGGACTACAGACGCCCTGCGCTGATTGGCTGAGAGAGGCCACGCTCGCGAAGTCCGCGGGAGGAAGAGGGTTGTGGGGGCGGGCCCTCCTGGCCCTCCCGGCCCTCCCGCTCCCAACGCCTAGTGCTGCTCCTTTCGTGGATCCTAAGAGGCAATCGCAGCCGTTCAGAATTCCTGGGTTGGCGAAAGACAGGGTTTCTTAGTATGGCCCAGTGGCCCCTGAATAGATAATAAATCCGTGTTTTTCCCGAAAGCAGTAGAATCTTGAGCCGGCCTCCACGTCTTTCCTTTTCATCCAAGGAACTGACCCTGCCTCCTTCATAGGTGTTGTAGAAACCCCAAGAGTCTTGGCCAAATAGAGGCAGTATATATGGCTTGGAAATACAGAACTGATAACGGGAATATTAATAATAAACACTTGAAATGCCCATCAACTGATAAATGGATAAACAAAATGTGCTCTGTTCACACAATGGAATGTCATAAAGTTAAGTACTGATACATACTGCAATACAGATGAACCTTCAAAACATTATGTTAAGCGAAAGAAGCCAGACACAAAAGGTCACATATTATTTTACTTATAAGATATGCACAGAACAAGCAAATTTATAGACACAGAAAGCGGACTGGTAATTGCCAGAGGCTGGAGGTGAGGTGTGTGGCTTTGGGTTTGACTGCTAACGGGCACAGGGTTTCTTTTCAACGTGTTGGGAATGTTTTAGAGTTAGTGATGATGGTTGCAGAACATTGCTGAGTGTACTAAAAATAATTTAATTGTATACTTTAAAAATGATTAAATGATGAATTTTATATTATGTGAATTTTGTCTCAATAAAAAGTTAAAAAGAAAAAAAACACTTGAGTGCTCACTCTGCATAAGGCACCATCTTCAATGAATTGCATTATCTTTGTGACCCTCTCAACCTGAGGTAGTCACTCAGACCATCCCTATGAGTCACATTAACATACCACTTTCATAAGCCAGGCTCTGGTTAAGCAATTACATGCCTTACCTCAATAATCATCATAACCGTGTGAAGTATTGTGAGTGGTGATAGCCTATCACTTTTGAAAGAGATGAGGAAACAGTTACAGAGGGCAGGCGACCTCACCTGCAGCAAATGGGAAAAGCCAGATATGGCCATGGCTGGAGCTCTCTTGCTGTGTCTACACAGACCCATTCTCCCCAGGGTATCTGACCACAGGCCCGGCCATCCAGCCACACCTGATGTCCTAGGCTTGGTGAGCTTGCTTTAGCCTCCAACCCCAGCTGGGGCCCAGCGTTTCAGAGGGCTTCTATACTCTTAGCTGCAGGGTTTGGGCATCTTGTCCTTACAGCTTACTCCTTTTGTTCTCTTCCATTATTCTGTGTGCCTTTCTCTCTCCCTGTGATCACATGTCTCTACAGAACTTTTTAAGATCTTATTTTAAGTAAACTCTACACCCAACATGGGACTCCAGCTCACAACCCTAAGATCAAGAGTTATATGCTCTACTGACTGAGCCAACCAGGCGCCCCTTTACAGAACCTCTTCTTTTCTAAGATTTTATTTATTTGAGAGAGAGAGAGAACATGAGAGGAGGGAGGGTCAAAGGAGAAGGAGACTCCCTGCTGAGCAGGGAGCCCAATGCGGGACTCAATCCTGGAACTCCAGGATCACAACGTGAGCCAAAGGCAGTCGCTTAACCAACTGAGCCACCCAGACGCCCTACAGAATGCTTTCGTCTTTGTGTCTCTCTCCAGCACAGGGTTTGCATTTAGTAAATGCTATTTTGAGGATTGTTAAATAAAGATGTGATGGGATGTTATAAAGTGGATGTCTGCCTTGTTGGGGGATATGGCCAGTTTTCCCATTCTCTGGTCAAAATCCATCTCTCTCACTAAAAATTGAAACTAGCTCACTAAAGTGGAAACAACCAACTTGTCTTACAGCACACTCTACCCGACAACAAAGGTAGTTTCCCAACAATTTATTTTTTATTTATTCAATCAATTTAATTTTGAAATCATACCTTAAAATGAAAATTGGTAGAGTTAACAACTTGGGATTTTTTTGTTATTGTTGTTTGACGAGTTCCTTCTAAGGTAAATGTTTCAGTATATGAACTACAACATTATAATACCTGTATTAAAAATGGCACAAAGGGCACCTAGGTGGCTCAGTTAGTTAAGTGTCTGCCTTTGGCTCCGGTCAAGGTCCTAGGGCCCTGGGGTCCAGCCCTGGTGTTGGGCTCCCTACTCGGCAGGGAGCCTGCTTCTCCCTCACCAACAAATGAATAAAATCTTAAAAAAAAAGGTTACAAAACTTAAAAGGTCCTGTCCCCCATCTGGGAGATGAGAGATGGGTAAATGTTCAACCTTTCACAAGGAGGTCAAGGTAAAATGCATGAGCCAGAAGCTGACATTCTGAAACAAAGCTGCAGGCAGATATTCACAGGCTATCAGATGGATGCTAGGGCCAAATCTCTAATTCCTAAGCTAGCACAGAGTCGGCAAGTATACATGATGACAAAAGAACCTTACTGTTACTTTTTTTTTTTTTTTTTAGTAAAAATACAAATTAACTGCCTAACATACCCTGTAATGTATTTTCCTACATATTTGGCTGCAAACTCTATGTCTTATATAACAACTGTGTAATTCCATTTTTATAGAAAGAGAACAGACAATCCAAACTCTCCTTAAGCAACATTGACAGAAATCTGCTTTGTATTACTGAGAGCTTATGAAAGTTTTTTTTCAACTTCAAATCACATTTTATTATTGGAAAAGTCATTTACGTTTTTAGGATTCTTGTCAAATAACAATTTACTTTTAAAAATCTCAAAACATGTTCTAGTATGTTCAGTAGCAAAGTTCTACCAGTGTTACACACATTAAGAAAACTTACATTGCATTTCTAGTTGGACTAATTAAAATCTATATACCTGTAAAGGCAGTTGGTTGTGCTTAATGGAGCTCTTAAGAATCAAGTGCAAAGTAATGTATAAAAAAATGAGTTTGAAAAAGATTTTAAGACAGACTTAATTTTTCATGATTTTCCCAAAGCCAGTCATGATATTTATTTAACTTATGGTCTTCAGGGTGTACCTGGAAGAAATAAAACACATTAGGAGAAAGAGGTCTTATATAACTTTGTCAGAAATACATTTTTAAAATGGGCTTTTTAAAGGGATGGTAGGAGAACAATACATTATGACAGCATACCTGAAAATTATAACCTTTAACCTAACTGGATTCATGAATGCTTAAAACTATACCTTACATTAAGGTAATTCTTCACAAAGTACTTTCCAATTTAGTACTGATCTTCACCATGACCTACCATGTGGGGTAGTGATAATATGAGTCAAGTACTAATATACCATTTTCCAGAAGGAGGTTATAGACCCTGAGAGTTACATGGACTGCTCAGGTCACAGTAAATGATAGGAACAGGGATAGGCTTGGGCAGACCTACTGGCTAAACGCTTTAAGGTGAGTCACAGACCAAGATGGCAGTGTACCGGGCCACCTGGTAGTACCACCAGCTGCCAGGACACCCCCTGGATATCTGTGGGCAGGGCATACTCAACTGACTGGGTAGCTGAGGTAGGGCCCAGTTACCACAAAAGTAGTCTGAGACCAGTAGGAGAAACCCAACAAGCATTCCTTCCAAGCCCAAACCTGTCTGCTTTCCTTCAGTGGTATATTTCTGAAGGCTAGTATGGCTGTGACAGGAGGAGAACCACATTAGGCTTAGAGACCACACGTGAATGAGAATGACAGCACGGGGCCAGAAGTGACAAACTGCTGGAGGTCAGTCAGAGGCCACACCAAGGAATCTTTATGGAGTTGGGAGTATCTATGGATCCTCTCCCTGCTGCCTGTAGCCCCATGCCACCACTTGCCCCTCAAGCCTAGAACAAAACTGGTTGTGAGAGTGATAGCACATGTGCCCAAGAAATAGTTTTGGCTCTAAGGATGGACTTATTTTGCCCCAGAGACAAAATGTGCTGGACATGTTACGGCTGGGAGTGGGTCTCACCTGCTTCCACTCATTGACGCAAAAAATTCGGTAAGAGTCGTTGCCATATTTGCCAATCCCATGAAGCTCAATTGGATACCTCCACTGCTTTGTCAGATATTCATCTGAAAATACAACACCCCACAGATCAGGTCAGCCTCAGAAAGACACTTTCTCTAAATACGTAGCGATGCAGAGCCAGATGGTGAGTACGGCAGAAAGGAACAGCAAAAAGTCTCTTCTAACAACCCCAGTTCTGATGACTTTCTTCTGAATTCCCCCAGGACCCTGTCTAAACCTCTCACATGCCACTTACTAACCGTTATTATTTTGTGCTGTGCTAACTATGCAGAGGCAAAGTCCTTAAGGTCAAGAGGGTATTCTGCTTCACTGACTTTCCTCTAATCCTGCCCAGATGGCTTGCCCCAATACTGGGCAAAGACTTATTGCTTGGGTGAGAGACTGTAGTTTGGGGCAAGCGGAATGTTTTTAAATGCCTTTAGGGCTTCAGCTGAATGACCTCGATTAATGTAGCATCCAAGGACATTAAAGTTTAAGGTGTGGCTCTCTTAAGTAGGCAGTTTATGTTCCTTCTTTTGGGTATACAAGAAAGTACCTGAGAACTTGATAATGGTTTTTGCTCGAAGATCATAGAGACCAAGAGGTTTAAGAAGTTCTGACACATCTCTCCAGTCTGCGGTTCTTGCTACCTCAGCCGAAGGGTACTTCTCTAGAAACTCCCAGAGCACAGGGATTGCCATTTTGCCTGGAAGTAAAAGTAACTGTGATTACAAGCCTCCAGATGGGTTGTTTTTAAGTTCAGGTACTTCCTCGTCGAGAAATCTCATATAAAATGTTTTTGTTTTGTTTTTTTAAACCCCTGGTGAGAAGCTATTACCTGAATTGGCACCACCTTCAGAATCGAAAGTCAACACTATCAGCTATTGGGCTAACAGTCTCAATCATACTGATACCTGGACTTGCCTGATTATTAGTTTTCAAATAATCCAGTCATCAGATAACTAGTATAAAAACATACAGAATACAAAGCGCCAATGACATTAAAGAAAGCATTCAATGAAAAAGAAATGCTTTTACACATGACAGAGGGTGGAGGAATGTTAGGTAATTGATTTTCACTGCTGACCAAAACTAGTTTGGAAGTAGAAAATAAATGACAATTTGTTCTGTAGTGCGAAAAAGGCTTTGGATGTCATCTAGGGTTGGAAGGGAAAGTCCTTGCCTGAGGTCACACAGACTCAAAGTTAAATTTGAACTCAGACCTCCTAATGAATCCAGTGCCCTTTCTCCTTATCACACTCTCTCTAAGATATAATCCACAAACCTGAGGTCCGGTTGAGAAATATGGTAGCAATGAGGAGCTTCCATGGATCGTGGAAAAGTGTCTCTTGGACGAGATTAAAAGGTGACCGAGGAGGGGTCCACTTCTTAAAGGCTTTGCGTCGAGGGGGACTAAGAGCTAAACAAACACAGGGCATCAGAGCTGAACACCTGAAACAGATTTAAAATCTAATTTTCTGATTGGGAAAGGGATACCTTCTCTGTTATATTTGCTGGAAAAATACAGGCTTGTTTTCCTTTTTTCTATTTGTGTCCGTAGAATGGTATCTTCTGAAAAGGAAGAGTGAACATTGTTTACAGAAGCTATGGCTTAGCCTAGAGAAATATTCAGGGGTGCAAATAACAACACACTACTATTATAAAGCATTTAGTACATATCAGGCTATTCTAAGCACTTTACAAAAATTAACCAACTTAATCCCACAAATGAACGACAAGCTAGGTACTATTTACTTTAACCTCACAGATAGAAAATTGAGTAAAAATAAATTAAGTAACATGGCCAGGGTCCCACAGCTAACGTCAGAGCTGAAATTCAAATCCAGGCAGTCCAACTCCTGAGTAACTTAACCACTGTGTTATACTAGTACTCTACGATTTATGTTCAGAGTTCATAGTACTGAAAAATTAGAAATAATATGGGATATTTTAAATTATGACACATTTGTACAATGTGGTCATTAAACATTTTGGACTACATCATGAATATTTTCTCCCATGTCCTTAACTTTTTAAGTGAAAATGCAATATTCTACATATGATCCCAATTTAATGAAGAAAAAAAATACAGAAATTAGAATGAAATAAACCAAAATGGTATAATGGTTGTTGCTAGTTTTTCTCTTCTCCCTTGATTTTTTTTATATTTTCCAAAATTTCTGCAGTGAACACTTTTACACTTAAAAAACAGAAAAGGATAAAGATAAAACAAAACCTACTGAAAAACCCAAGATTGGGACCTTGGAATACTGGATCACTATCTACTGGGAAGCTCAGTTAACGTAACAAAGACTACCTGACCAGCATTACTGGGCTTCCCAAGTTTCTAAAATCATCATATTTAATACTCTCCATAGTCTTACCCCCTCAATTTGAATGTCAGTTAATAATAACTTGCAGCTGTAGAGTGTGAAGCCATCTTTTTCACTTCTCATTTTACTCTGCAGTATTCTTGATGTAAAAAACTGGACTGGTGAGTATTATTACCTCCATTTTACAGATAAACAAATGAAGGCGTAGAAATTAAACAACAATGTCAAAATGAGAGTGGGACTGACTGCAGATTGGGAGAGGTATCCAGCTCTCCAGATAATTACTACTGTTTTTTGTTATTCTACACTTCACACTTGATCTTAGTCAAAAGGCTCAGAAGCAGATAGGCAAAGCCTAGTAGAAAGTAAAAAAAAAGAGGACAAAGGAAACTACTCTTACTAGTTACATGATTTCTTCTGTGGGTTCCTATAAATAATTATTAACTAGCATCCTTTATTAGTAGGAGAATGAAGCTCAGTTTACTTTGCAATTTCCAATTAAGCCAATGGGAAAGTCTTTACAATTCCATCAGACACTTCTTAAACTCAGGGTACTTCATCTTGTGCTAAGAACTAGACTTCTTTATGTATAGGATGAATAGGATCTTCCGTTTTGGTCACAAAAGGATTTTAAAATATTTTATTTGTCCATTATACTAGCAACAAAGCTACATAAACCTCAAAGCTCTAAGAAGCTTAAAGTCTTTAAAGGGCAGACTTGAATTCTTAAGCAGTTCCTAGGTATATATGGTCATTTGCTATTAAAGGTAACGGAATTCCAGGCACAGCAAAAACATAAAATCATGAGTGGGGCTGAGAACAGAATCAGTCTAAGCCCCTGCTCCACCAATTTGTCCAGGCTGTCTCCCAGCAGGACTTTAAGTAAAATTAGTCTTCTCCTTTAAAGGAGTTATTCATTATACCATAATGGCATAATGAATAACTAATACAGGGCTGCTCAAAAGGTCTTCTTTTTATTTTTTATTCACTGAGGTACTATAAAGGCAGGTACTGCTAAGCTCTGAACTCTGTATTAAGAGCATATTACAAATAATAAATGAACTGTGTGATTACAGTTTTGAATTATTTAGAGCTCTAAAGCATTTTAGAGAAGCATTACATTATAATAGAAGATAAAAATGACTATGATCTGTACAAACTGAAATTGGAAGTCACACATCAGGAATAAATAACAGGAGGGGTGCAAAAGAGTAGACATGGACTATTTTCGACCAGCTTATGCATTAAAAGGAGTCTTCCCCAAACCTTTTCACAAATGAAGCCTTTCATTTTCCCTAAAGTTGTAATATTACTGGCTGGAAAGAAGATGGGAAGGGAAAGCACTGCTGAGGAAAGTCCCAGCTATTGCACCAAGAAGAGATGGTAGCAGCTGTAAATGACACAATTCTCTTTAGCCGGGGTTATCAAGGCAGAAGTCAGCCAATTCCCTCCATGCCATAGCCAAGCGTTTGAAGATCGGTTAAATAAGGTACTAGGATCAACAGGTACAATGTAGCTGATATTTGGTCCTATTTCTTTGTTCTATTTCCATATCCTAACTGGGTACAGGCATGAAATATAGTGTCTGGAAGCATAAACTCATCATGTGTTTATTAGCAGCTTTAATGCTCTGAGTACCTTGACACATTTCCACAGAGTCTTTCTCAGTTTGTGAGCAGTTGTTGTCCATTTCAGAGCCACATTTTAAAATGTCAGTATGCAAATGTTCCTTCCTCTCCCCAACTTGTACTTTTGATTTTATTTCCTCAGATTCTAAAAAGGTTTCCTCACACTTCTTGCTGTGTTCTGCTTCTTCAGTTGAACATAATTTGTTTATGATGCCAGAAGTTATTTGTTCAGAACAAAAATTTGATACCAAACTCAATGATTGTTCTTTCACAAGTTTCTTTTCTTCACTGGTTGCACTGAGGGTCTTGTTGCTTGTCCCAGCACCAGCAATGGAGAGTGTTTTATCAAGCTGACTTTCTTGCACAACAGATTCACTTTCATCATCTGCCTTTTTATACTCAGATTTTCTTTTCTTATTACTTTGAGCAGAATCTGGAAGACCCTTCTGGCACCTTGTTTTAGTTCTCTTAATTTGAATTCCTTTCAAAATAGGCACCTTTTCTTTGGACTTTCTAACCTTTCTGGAGTCCACATCATTAACACCCTTATCTTTAAAGTTAGATAGTCCTTTGCTACTTGGCAATTCCAGACAACTGCTTGGTAGAGGAAAGACATCTTTTTTCCACCAGCTTCGTGTCCTGAGGTTCCAGTTTGAACTATTACTTTCACTTTGCATTTGGGATGTCAGAGGTGCTATGTTGCAGTTCTTATATCCCGACTTGATGCCTTTTTTAGAAAGTACGGTAAAATCGAAATCTTCTGGTGTGAGAGAAGTTTCTTCATTTTTGTGAAGATACTTAACAAGTGAACTTTTGGATCTGAACTTCAGTCCTTGTGGGCTAGAAAATGATATTAAAGAAAACTTATTGCTAGTCAATAAAAGTGACTTAAAAAGACCTGGACCACATTTCAGATTTTTAATTAATCATTTCCAATGTTACCATGGGTATCTGTCATTTAAAATTTTTAAAAAAAGTAATAAAGTGGTACTTTTAAATAGTTTGCTCTATGATAGTATAATTTTACAATTACTTACAAATTTACAAATTTAAGGGCAACAATTTGCAGCAGAAGATTTATGTGCTTGTCCCCAGATCACTTGATATAACTAACTAGTGACACTCAAGGAATAAAATCTACAACGGTTTCTAGTAAAAACAGGAAAAAGCCAAGATTTCTGTGATGTTTTCCTGATACCTGTCTAGATAAAATGATTTGGCTGTACTATCTGTACCACCTTGCATGCTCACCTGATAAAATATATATCATATCTTCCTGCTGTTTTCCCTGATAACCTCTGCTTCACAACTCTTTCCCATCCACATGGGACAGACTTATGGCATTCTGTCATAGTAGTATCACTAGTCTGAGCAGAAGCAATGGATTCTTGCAGCAGGGGATTACACTCACTGCTGTTTTTTATCATCACTTGTTTCTCATTTTCTCCCATGCTTTCCAATCCCAGAGCACCATCTTCCTGGCTGAAAAATACAAAGTATAAGTGATCAGCTCATTTAAAATTTATTTTCCTCTGCTTATTCAATTTCAATCCATGACAGAGCAGGAACCCTATGGACTAAAATTTAGACTACAAGAAAGATTAAAATCAGTATGGACCAGTCTTATGCTATGTGAATATCTTCCTGTCCTCCAACATGGGTTACAAAGGGTTGGAAGTGTCTGCACAATGTAAAGTTCAAGCTATTCACTAGAAACTTTATGTTGTTGTTAATTACTGAATGGGGCTATTGAGTGTCTGGTTGACACTTGGCATAAATTTAAAAATATGAACCAGTATGTGAGCTCTTAAACTGGGATCAACAGAGCTGCTTAAAAGAGTCAGTGAGACACCGTCCTTCTCCCCAAATAAGTGAGGTAAAAATTTTATACATATCTGCAGTTTTCTGGGGGAGAGTGTCTATTGCTTTCTTCAGAGGTTGTAACCCTCCAAAAGGTAAATAATTTTTGTTAAGAATTTTCAAATCTCTTTCATCCTCATGAGAATCTTGTGAGGTAGGTAGGACAAAGATTACTCTAATTTTACTGAGAAAATTAAGTGACAGGGAAGATTTAAGTTACTTGCAAAACTGATACAGAACCTAGGTCCACTAAATCTTGGTCTATTACCTCTCCCCCTGCATTATCATTGAAAAACTCCAATAAAGTGTATCCTAATCACTAAATTACACATTTAAAAAGTCGGATGGGTCTATAGAGCTATCTAACCCAACTTCTTTAGGGAAACTAAGCAAGAGCTAGTATCTAGAATTAGAATCAAGCTCTTCTGCAGTAATTTGGGGTTAATAATTTTGCGGAGCTAAGAGGATCTTAAGAAATTATATGGTTCACATTTTAGGAACAAGGAAACTGAAGCCTGGTGAAAATAGCACAAACTTTAAAGTCAACAGACTAGGTTCAAATCACAGCTCTGTCACTTACTATATATATATATATATATATATATATATATATATATATATTTATTTCAGTATACATATGTATTTGTATATATGTATATTTCATATGTATGTATATAGATATAGATATAGATATATATCCATCTCCAAGAGCAAATTACCTAACCTCTCAAAGCCTCCTTTCTTCATCTTTAAAAAGGAGGTAATACTTCTACTAAGGTAGTTCTGGGGATTAAATTTTTGGGGGAAAAAAGTAGATAAATCATCTTAGCCCCTTATCCCACATACACAAGTACTGTACTGAATACATGCCCGTGGCTGCCTCTTTAATTTCTTATAGGACCCATTTTGGGGGCACCATTGGCTGCTTAACATGACATCTCCTCCAAGGTCTTCCTAGGGTACTCCAGCCCAAACTGACCTCTCCTTGCACCCCCTGCACAAAACCTCTCTGCTCCTTCCAGCTCCTTCGTCATTCCGGCTAAAGAAGCAAGATGCACTCCAGGGCTGAACCCACTGGAAGAGTTCCTGAGCCAAATACAGCCACAGCTCCGAGTACCTAACCCTGTGGGTCTCGAGAGCTGTCGATCCTAGGTTAGAAAGGCCAATCCGTCTTCTACCCACCCCACCCCCGCTCCCATTACAGATGGCGAAAATGAGTCCCGAAAGGGGACTACAACTTGCCGGAGGTCACAGTGCCGGTCTGCGGCTGAGCGCTCACTGGACGTGACCGAGGGGGCAGCTCCGCAGTCTCCCAGGCTCGGACTCTCCATCCCAGCCACGCCCTTAAGGTGGGCTTCAACAGCAGCAACCGGCCGAGAGTGTGCGACACTCTAGGAGCGGAGCAGAATCAGATGCGAAAACTTCTTCAGCTCAGTGCGCTAGGCTGAATCCTAGAGCCGAAGGCGGTAAAAGCCTGTCAGACTCCACAGCCGCTTTCCGGCCGCCCACTCGGCCACAGCCGCCATTTCCACGGCTCAGCCAATCAAATCCTTCATCGAGAAAGACATACCGCCCTCCGCCCATTCCGGCCAGTCGCACGCGTCCTAGTTGCGCAGACTCCTAGGCTCCGTCCCATCTTCTGCTCCGTTCCCAGCCCTGCCTTTTAAGCCTGCGCACTCGGAATTCTGCCGCGCGCACAAGGCTCACTGCGCATGTGTGTTGCCAGGGGTAGCGCAGGTAACCAAAGTGGCTGGCGGAGCGGGGCCCGTTGCTGAGGCGGGAGGAGGGGCCTGAGGCGTGAGGGAAGCCGCGATGAGGGCCGTGTTGACGTGGAGAGATAAAGCCGAGCAGTGGTGAGGAGTGGGGCATCCGGGAGGAACGGGAGGCCGAGCCCTGGCGGGGATGGCGGGAACCATGACTGGAACCCCCGTGGTTGCCAGGGGCAACGGGCCTGCGGCCGGGGCTGAGGGCACTGAACCCCGGGTCTGAGCAACTGCAGGGTCGCCTTCCGCCACCCTTTTGCAGATGGAGAAACTGAGGCCTGGAGAGGAAGCCAAGGGGTGTACCACGCGTGAGGTAGTGTCCTAGCGAGGTGGTTTTACACAGAATCAGCCTGGGCCTGTCAGAATCCGTCCTGGCTTCATCTTACTACCTGTGACAATGTCTTTCAAAAAGGTCACAGATTTTGCCACATGTACAAAATCTTGGCGTTTTTCTCAGAATTGCCTCACTGATTATCACCCAAATATGATTTTACACTCTATGATTCTACAAGGAAGCTTTCTTGCTCCATATTTGAAAGTCAGTATCACTTGCCGTGAGATAAATGAAAAACTCAAAGTTGGGAGAAACAAAACGGTGTTAGTAAGTTGTAGCTAGATACTGTTGCTAGGATCCCTTTAAGCCTCTGGTCTGCTGTCCTGGAGAACTGGAAGTTTAGCAGGTGTGGTTTGAGAGGTGCTTGAGGTGAATTGCCCAGAGCAAGACTTTCTCCTATGGTTAATTAGAAGGTTGGAAAGAGAATCAAGAGAATGACTTTCTCACCTTATGAGTCGATGTTAATGTCCTATTCCATTTTTATCAGCTAAATCCGTCATACAAGGAAACATTTGGGAAATACTGACTTATTGGATAGTTCCCCTCAGCCTGACCTTAATCTTCCTAGCTAATCTTTTCACCTTCGTGGTGCAGCCTCTGTTTTGGCCACTGGAACAGGACCTTTAACATTCCCTCTCTTGAAGGTGTGCAGAAGGCATGCCTTTTTTCTTCATCTCCTTACATTGGAGTTGTAAACATTCTGTAATGTTCCCTTCAGATATGGTTTCTCTCTCTTCTGTACTCTGCACTGGTAATAGCTAATGCTTACTACGCACCAGACCCTGGCTAAGAACTTCATGTCTTTTTATCTCATTGTCACTTCACAACAGCCCTCTGAACTATGTATTGTAATTACCTCTCTTTTACTTAAAAGGAAACTGAAGCACAGAGAGGGTAACTAATTTGCCACAGTCACACAGCAAGTAAGTGGTAGAGCCAGCTTTTTTCCTCACTCCAAAGCCAATACTCTTAGCTACTAAATTAGTTTTTTCTTATGTTACAGAGGTTGCAAACCCAAATGCCTACAGAAGTCAGGCAGGCAATATAATGGGAGATGTTTATTTGTATCTTAAACTCAAGGAATCGTCTTTCCTAAGAGTATTTTGCTATTCTACACCCCCACTTTTCTTGAAACACATAGCCCTACCAGTATATCTTTCACTTTTACTTTTAATAGAAATTTGAGTTTAAAAAATTCTTTTGGGGTGCCTAGGTGGCTCAGTTGGTTAGGTGTCCAGCTCTTTTTTTTTTTTTTTAATATTTTATTTATTTATTTGACAGATCACAAGTAGGCAGAGAGGCAGGCAGAGAGAGGGGGAAGCAGGCTCCCCACCAAGCAGAGAGCCTGATATGGGGCTCGATCCCAGGACCCTGAGATCATGACCTGAGTTGAAGGCAGAGGCTTAACCCACTGAGCCACCCAGGTGCCCCCTAGGTGTCCAACTCTTGATTTCAGCTTAGTTCTTAATCTCAGGGTCCTCAGTTCAAGCCCCACGTTAGACTCCATGCTGGGAGTGGAGCCTACTTAAAAAAATAATAAAAGATAAATTTAAAAATTACTTTTTTCTTAATTCTATTATGAAAGTACCACCCAACTGCTGATAACTAGCAGCTTGAACAAATTTGACTTTCATGTCAGAGAGTAAAAGGGAGTGGCAAGGAGTGTGGCAAACTAGAGATCTCATGCTCTGCCTAAAAAGGGCAGCTGCTGCTCAGCTCCTGCCAATTCCCACCCTGCAGAAATTTGGCCTAGTGTGCTCAGATCTTCCTGTTTTTACCAGAAGCTATGAATTTGGGTTTTTATTTGAAATGCCCTAATTTCTAATGCTGGCAACTAATCTGAAACTGAAATAAAACACCATGTGGGCCAAACAAAACATTTGCTGGCCAGATACAGCCTGATTTGCTCCGTTTTCAACCCCTGGCATAGAATTTTGTTCATTCCTCTCTATGGTACTTAAAATCTGTCTAGTGTAAAGAGTTATTTTTGCATCTGTTTATCCCAGAAGTCTATAAATCCCTTAAAAGCAATGGCTACTTCTTATTCATTTCTAAGGCATATTCCAGAGCCTAGACAAATCAGTGGTGGGTGTGACTGTTTGATGGATAGGTGTATTCATGAATAAATTAATAAGTGAATGAATGAATGCTGAGTTTAGATTGATTATTTGGGTTTTGGCCCATTTTAGGTTTGAAACTACTTATTAGATTAGGGACTGTAGGGCTTATATAGACCAGCAATCCTGATGGCAGCTACATATGCCAGCTGGAAGCCCAGAATACGATAAAACAAAAACTATTAAAAAATAAATAGTGGAACTAAGAGATCTTAGATGTCTAAAATTAGTCATCCACAACAGAACCAGCCACTGTTCTTTGACTTCCAGTCCAAACTTCACGTGGTAACAGGATTTCTATTTCTTGAATTCTGCTGTGATCATCAGATTGTGCACTTTGCTAGGTGGTCCTGTTCATCCTCCCCCTTCACCCTCTGCTTGCTAATGTTTAAATATATGCTTTCCACTTCAGCTGAAAATTCAATTTTCCTATCCCAAACTCCTTCCCAAATGCTCTTATTCTTCTCTAAACTCCCTCCTTTCTTTTCTTTCCTTTTTTTTTTTTTTTAAAGATTGTATTTATTTATTTGTTAGAGAGTGAGAGAGAGCGAGCACAAGCAGAGGGAGCAGCAGGCAGAGGGAGAAGTAGGCTTCCTGCTGAGCAGGGCTCCATCCCAGGACCCGGGAATCATGACCTGAGCTGAAGGCAGACACTTAACTGATTGAGCTACCCAGGTGTCCCTGAACTCCCTCCTTCCTTAAAAGCACTGCTCCAGGTTTATCTCAACCAAGATGCCTTATCTGGTTAGCCTGCCTTATTCCAGTCAGGACAACATCTGTTATTACCCTCCCGTTACACCAGCTAGTATTTACTGAGTACTTGCTATAGGCCAGACAGTGTTTACATTCATTATTTTATTTAATCACCACAGCAACCAGTGTGGTTGGAATTGTTACCCCATTTACAGATGAAGAAACAGACTTAACAAGATGACATAATTTGCCTAAGATTCAAAGCAAATAACTGGGGCTGGGTCCGATTGTGCAGGATTTGGAGGGGCACCTTGGGACTTCAGTTTACAGTGCAGTGGGCACAAGGTTGGCTGAGGACAATTTGCAAGATTTGCCCTCTGTCTTTCTGACAGTGAATCCTTCTTTTAAAAGAGGGTGGATGGGGGGAGAGAGCCATCCTTTAGTACAATAAACTGCCTGCAGCCTGGTGAGCGCCCCAATCCTGGAAGTGTTCAGAGGTTGGATGGCTATCTCTAGGGAATTCCTAGGGAATGCCCTGCTGTGTGTGGGAGCTGGACTACCTGACAAATTTTAGGGTCTTTCCCAATTCTGAGTTTCTGTGATCTTGTCGATCTTGAAAATAAAACAACCAGTTGTTTTTGTTTGTTTGTTTGTTCATTTTTACCAGCAAAGTGGGTTTATTCAGGAATAGGAGAGGAATTACGATTCAGGAGAAGAAAGCTATGGTGAAACACAGGCAAGTTCTGGAAACAAAGGAGAGGAACACTTTTGTAGAGGAAAGGGGGAAGGAAGTTGGGAGGGGCCATTATAAGCAAAAAGTCCATTAAAGTAAACTGGGAGTTCAGAGTGTAGTGGCTTTTCATTGGTTGAGTTGTGACAGTCTCTCATGTTGCTGGGCCAGGAGAAAAATCTTTATCTAGGGTAAGGTATAGGCTTCTTCCTGTTGGTTCTTCAAAGGGCTGCCAACAAGTAGTACACCATGAGAGCTTCCGCTTCTGGCTTCTGGACTCCATTTTATTATATTTTTTTATAATGTAATTTTTTAAAAAGATTATTTATTTATTTATTTGACAGAGATCACAAGCAGGCAGAGAGGCAGGCAGAGAGAGAGAGAGAAGCAGGCTCCCTGCTGAGCAGAGAACCTGATGTGGGGCTTGATCCCAGGACCCCGAGATCCTGACCTGAGCCAAAGGCTTAACCCACTGAGCCACCCAGGTGCCCCTGGACTCCATTTTAAATAAGGTTTTCTTTATTTGGTTTCAGTCTCATGATGTAAAGTCTGAGGGGTTTAAGATAAAATAGTTTGTCGATTATATTCATTTTGTGTCTAGGACAATGCCATGCACGGTGGGCCCACAACTGTCTAAAATAGGGTCCTTGCCCTTAAACCGCACATGGCTATAATTAAGATAGTATTTGAAACTGTGAAATATAGAAGGCAATATAATTCAGAGCTACAATGAATTATACAGATCCTAAGTGGATTAACAGTTTAGATTGGGGTAAATTGAACATTACGTTATACTTTAGGAAGGCAAATTTCAAGATATTTTGAGAAAATGAATTTTCACATCTGAGAGTAAAATA